AAATGTAATCAGACTTGTTTTTTAACTGTAACTAATTAGATATTGTGAATAAAATCTGTTTCTTCACCATGCTATGGTAGAGATATGGAAGGGGCAACATATTTCACTGTGTGTCATAAATTGTACAGATAGTCCTTGACTTACGCACCCAAATTTCTGACGCTAAGCAAGACAGTTGTTCAGTGGAGTTTTGACCCATTTTATTACCTGTTTTTCCACAGTTGTTAAGTGACTCACTGCTGTTGTTAAGTTAGTAACAGGTTGTTAAGTGAATCTGGCTTCCCCATTGACTTTACTTGTCAGAAGTTCACAAAAGGTGATCACATGACCCCGGGACACTGCAGCCGTCATAAATATGAGTCAGTTGCCAACTGTCTGAAATTTGATTATGTGGCCATGGGGATGCCGCAACAATCATCGAAGTGTGAAAAACAGTCATAAGTTACTTTTTTTCCAGTGCCATTGTAACTTTGAATGGTCACTAAACAAATGATTTTTTTCCAGTATTAATCTGTTGAAAGAAAAATCTTCATCAGGGTCCAGTCTAAGCCGGGAATAAACAAAATGGGGACTGGTTTAGAAAGAAGGTTGTGGTTTATTGAAGAGGAGAGCCAGACAGAAAGATGGCTCTGGAAGAAAAGAGAGAAGAGCATATGTAGGGAGTGGGGTTTTATACCCTCTGGGGCTTTTGTTTGGAGTTGTTTCCTGTTCCTGTTTGAGGCTTTGTATTTCCTGTGTCATGTACTTTGACCTGAGTCTGAGCGTATCCTTTTGGTATTGGTAGGTTAATCCTATTATGTTTCCTTTGGATTTGGATGGGGTATGTAGATTTTAGGGGTCTTTGTCTTCCTAATCTCAAAGCTTCTAGCTTCCTGGCCTCAACCTTCCTGAATGGATTATTGAATTTGCATTTCTAAAAGCTGGCCTCTGCGTAGTTTCTGCTTGGGGCTATTAAAAAAACTGGGCTTGCTTTTCTGCCTTTAAGATCTCCTCCATTATTCCTTTGGATAAATATATTCTGCCTTTTTAATATTTCCCAAAATATTTCTTTCTCTGAATTTTTCCCACAAATCAAAATCTTTCATCATTTGGAATTCGAAATTGCATCCCTCCCTTCTTCCCTGTATGAGGATATCTCCCATATTTTATCATCCATTTTTAAGGTGATAATGCTGCTATAAAATTAATCTCCAGTTTTGATAATAGAAAATGATTAAGGCTTTTTTTTAATCTGATGTCAGATATTGAATCCATTCTGAAATTGAAGGACCCTTTTGCCTGATTAAAATAGAGATATGGTTCTTGTTTAGTGGATGACTTGTTTAACGGTAGCTTAAGTGGTGATAGAGATGAAAACTAATTTTACAACCAATCCTCACATTGACCTCTTCTGATCAGTAACACAAAAGAAAGATGAAGGAAGATCATAACCACAATTAAGATTTTGCTTTACTCACTTGCATCATTTAACAACTGAGTTGCCAGTCCCAATTGTGGTTGCATACAAGGACAATCTGAATGATTTAATATGGAATAATATTAGTGAAGGTAAACATCATATCTGAGCTTCACACATAGGGGCCACCACTAGATGGCAGCAAAGAGATTTGGTTTGCTCCATCTATAGGCTTAATGCAGGGATCCCCAACCTGTGGGCTATGGCCCACTACTGGGCCGCAGCCGCTTGGCCACAAGGCCATGTGAAGGGATGGCCAGTCCACGAGCACCCTAATCCTAACCTCCACACACTCACACTAGCACCGACCCGAGCATCCTGCCAGCGCTAGCATTACCCTGTCCCAAGCATCTCACTGGCACTAGCGCTGCCCTGAGCATCTTACTGGCACTAGCACTGTCCCAAGCATCCCGCCAGCTAGCACCACCCTGCCCCCAAGCGTCCCACCAGCAATAGCACCGCCTCGAGTATCCCTCTGGCACTAGTGCCACCCATAGCATCCCTCCAGTGCTAGCGCTGCCCCATTTGCAGCACTCACGCCTGTGCAGGCCCATTTGCATGTGCGCATGAGGCCATTTGTGTGTGCGCATGCACTCGCGTGTGGCCCATTTGTGTGCATGCATGTGGGGCTCATTTTTGCATGCGCAGGTGCGTGGCCCATTTGTGCGTGCACACATAGCGGTGCCTGCCTCCCTTTCAGGACCGCCAAAGTAGAAAGGTTGGAGACCTCTGGCTTAATGAATCAAACTATTGACTTTGTGTGTAGAATATGTTAATAAGCCTTATTTACTCTAAAATCCATACAAACATACTGCTGTTCCAATTTATGTACAGGGATTGGTTCACTGCTCAGCATTTTTTTAAAAAGATATAGACTCCAGATCAAGAAAATTTATAATCAGTCAACAAAGTGACATTCCTAAAATTAACACAACATATTAATAGATTTGCCAAGAGCAACTGTTTTGCAAGATGTGCAATGTGTTACTCCAGATTTAGATTGATTTTGCTAATTAATTAACCTACAACAACCAGCTCTGCTTGCCCATTTTTGGGAAGGTGCAACGCCAGTATAGCATTGTATCATATAGAAATCTCAAGTCAAGGGCAGCTTATTTTAATTACCAGCAACATTGTTGGAAAACCAGCCATAATGCAGAACTGTGATTTAAGACAACTGAAGCTTTTCCTGGCCAGCTGTGCGCTAGATTCATTTACTTGGCAGAACCTACCCCTGCTTTGATTTAAAGCGTTGAAGATGGCTGTGCTGGGGGAAAAAATCCCCATAAATTGTAAATATTCTTGTAGTGCTCTAAAAGCTATCCAATTTTGGATACAATATAGAATTAGAAAAATGGCAAAATTTGTGGGAAAGAAATTATAAAGTGACAATGTCAACTTCCTACAAAGAAAATTTATATAAAACCTTTTATAGATGGCACTTGCCACCAGCAAGACAAGCAAAAATGTTTAAAAACGTGTCAGATAGATGTTGGAAATGCGAACATAAGTCAGGCACTTATTACCATGTTTGGTGGACATGTGCCAAAGCAAAGACTTATTGGAAAAAGATGCATGCCTGGCTAGAAAAGATGTTGTGAGAACACCTAGATTTTAAACCAGAACTTTTTTTATTAGGTGTAATGCCAGAAAAGACTGGTAAACGAAGTCTATATTTGACTTTGCATGTTATAACAGCGGCAAGAATTATATTTGTGCAGTATTGGAAAAATGAAGGAATACCATCATATGAAGAAATAATTTAAAACATAGAATGTGCGGAGATGGATAGACTGACTCTGAGACTAAAAGAAAAAGAAGAAACTGAATATTATCAAACTTGGGACTTTTTTTATCGATGGCTAGAGCAGGGGTAGGCAACCTTGGCTCTTTTATGACTCGTGGACATCAACTCCCAGAATTCCTGAGCCAGCATGGGGGAACTATAGCCCTTTCATGACTTGTGGACTTCAACTCCCAGAATTCCTGAGCCAGCATGGCTCAGCTTGGAAACCTCTCCCTTTTCCCTCAGCATGGCTGACTCAGGAATTCTGGGAGTTGAAGTCCACGAGTCATAAAAGAGCCAAGGTTGCCTACTCCTGGCTAGATGAAAGAATAAAAGATTAGGAACTAAATATGTATTAGTCAGACAGCACGTTTGTTGAACAAATACTATTGAATGTATGGAAAAAATCAATAAAATGTAAAAAAAAAAAGCTATCCAATTTATAAGACCATTATTTGGCTTGGGTCCACTTGATGAGATACAGTGGAGGCTGATATATTGTACAGTATATAGTCGGAACCAATTGAAAGACACAAATCCATTAAAGTTTACAACATTATGTACTACTTAAGTTTATAAGTTACCACAAGACTGCTTTTATTCTATGAATAAAGTCAAATAATTATTCCTGTGGAAGGAAAGAGTAATAGTTTCGGGGAAATGCTATGGAGATTCTCAATCATCCAGATCATCTTTTTCAAGAGACAACTGGACTTTCTTTGTTTTTCCATGAAGACGTTTCGCTTCTCATCCAAGAACTTCTTCAGTTCAGACTGAATGGTGCGGAATAGAAGGATTTATATTCCTTGCAGTCATCTGGTTGAGGGGGGGGGGGGATACGACACCACCTATTCCCTGTTTACAACACAGTCCTTTCAACAATTCCAAGAAGTCTCCACACCCATTTGCACTATTCAGATGAATCTGAGGACACAGATAAACCCCCAAATGGCCTCAACAACTCTCAGAGGGAATGCGAATGACCAGATGACTGCAAGAAATGCACATCCTTCCATTTCCCATTATTCTACCAGAACTGGAGAAGCCTCTTGGGATGAAGTGAAATGTCTTCAAGGAAAAACAAAGAAAGTCCAGTTGCCTCTTGAAAAAACACCTTTTGGGTTTCAGAGAAATAATATGGTAAAACAATGGACATAATAATAATAAAAAAACATAATAATTTAAATACTAAGTAATAGTACCATAAATAAATAAATAAAGACACTCTACAGATTTTAAAACCATCCTCTTAATATGTTTGGGCATGGGGTGAAGTGAGAATATATTTCTTTCATAAATTTTGGGTGGGATTGAGGATTTATTTTAGTGAAGGGCAAGCAGGCTCATCCAGTTTACTATTTCTTGCCTGAAATTGGTAGGAAAACACATTGCTCATGTCAACATTTCAACTTTGATTTGAAGGTCTTAAATGGTTGCCCCTTACAGGTTAGAGGAGGGGGTCTCCACACTTGTAGACTTAAACTTGTAAGGGGTCTCCAATTCTGTAGACTTCAACTCCCAGAATTCCTCAGTCAGCCATGCTGGCTGGGGAATTCTGGGAGTTGAAGTCCACAAGTCTCCAAGTTATCAAGTTTAGAGACCCCTGGATTAGAGGCCAAAAATAAGCGGTGGGATGAGGAAGATGGAAATAAAGAACAGGCTGAAATTAACCCTGGGCTCATGGAATGCAAAATGAATGGATCCCATTATATTTATCTGGCTAACTAATGCTTTTCTTATATATGATAATGGCTCAAGGTGAGATGATTCTGCATTCAGCCAGCATCCAGGACAACACGGTTTTCAGCCAAGTCTTTCAGATCTTGTACCGGAATGAAGAGATTCTCCTCAACGAATCTATGAACTTCTCTGTGCATCTCCTCCTGGATGGTGAGAGGGTGAGATGGTTTTGATTCTCTTACAGAAGACTCCCCCTCACACGTATATGAGCATGAATGAAAATGCATTCATGGTTATAGGTACAGTGACACCTCACTGTTAATTGATTCTGGGAGGCACAATGAGTAGCAAAAACGATGAGTTCCATGCAATTTTTTGCTACAAGAATAATGTAGTGAGTCACAAGGAAGCTAACACCAACAAGTTCTAGCTTGTGCATTGAGTACCGAACAAACAATGAGTACGGGGACAATATTTTCTCGTCAAAATGCACCGAGTACCAAATTTGATGAGTTTCAAAGCAGTTGAGTAAAAAGCTACCACTGTATTAAAAAATTGTTTTTCCAATAGAAGAGACCATCTGTAGATTGGTGGCATATACAGCGGTGGGGAGGCACCACCAGTGGCAGGGAAGCAGCCACTGAGAGTAAGGGGATTTCCCTGAGGACATAGACTTATGATCACAATTGGGGCCTGAAACAACTCCCCTTTGGGGTTGGACTAGAAAACCTCCAAGGTCCCTTCCAACTTTGCTACTCTATGATTCCATAAGGGTCTCCAGCTTGAGCAGGGGGTTGGACTAGATGACTTCCAAGGTCCCTTCCAACTCTGCTACTCTGATTCTGTAAAGGAATATCCAACTAGACTGGAGGGAGGTGTTAAGAACGGGGTGAGCTGAAGAGTCCTTGCACTGCAGAAAGTGGTACAAATCTGACCTCCCCCAGAATCTCTGAGGCCTTATCCAACTGTTCCCAAGAGAATGTAGCCAGACTGGAGAGATTCTAGTAACACAAGTGAATAACAATAAAGTTTCTGCTTGAGAGTGTTCATGGGTGTTTGTAGTTGTTTGTGCCTGACAGTAACTGAAGGTTGAACTGTGGGGTCCCTGGAACTCTCTGAAATTGTTTGTTTGCTTGCAAACATTTCATTACCCAACTAGGTAACATCATCATGTTGAAAGAAAAGTCTTCATTGTGGTTCAGTCCAAGCTGGGAATAAGCATGGCGACTGCTTTAGGAAGAAGGTTGCAGTTTATTGAAGAGGAGAGCCAGACAGAAAAATGGCTTTGGCAGAAAAAGAAAAAAAGGGCTGAGCACATGTAGGAAGTGGGTTTTTATATCCTCTGGAGCCTTTTGTTTGGAGTTGCTTCCTGTTCCTGTTTGAGGCTTTGTATTTCTTGTGTCATGTATTTTGACTTGTGTCTGGGTGTGCCCTTTGGCATCTGTGGGTTAATCCTATTATGTCCTGTTTTAGACTTTGGGTGGGGTATGTAGATTTTAGGTGTCTTTGTCTTCTTAATCTTCTAGCTGGGGGCTTCCAACCTTCCTGGATAGTTTACATCTGCATTTCTACAGAGCTGGTTTCTACTTGGGGGAGGGAGACCTGGGGCTATTAAGAAAACTGGGAATGCTTTTTCTGCCTCTTTAAGATCCTTTGAAAAAATATATTTTCCTGCCCTTATAATATTTCTTTCTCTGAGGGGCTGACTTCCCACAATCAGTATGGGAGCACTAAATCCTCCACAGATTTGTTATACATGTCTTGTCACATTGGTTTGGAGTGCATTTGAAACCACTTAAACTGTCCTTGTATCACTCAGTCAGTGTCGCTTTCACAAAGGAATTTTTCCCCCTGCTTCCTGGCAGGTAGACAGGCCAGTAGTAAGACAAGGAGAGAGAAAAGACTAAAGGAGAGAAGTGAACAACTCTGTGAATCTAAACTTGAAGGACATTCATGTAGGTCCAAAAGGTTGTGTGAACTGTACTTAGAATCCCATCATAGTTATTATGGAATAATGACTGCAGTGCCATTGATTTCAACAAATAGGAACTGCAGCTAACAAGCTACATTAGCTACATTGAGCGAGATAGCTAGCACCTTGGAATACAGAAATAAAAATTCAAAATAATTTTGGGACTTTAGAAAAAGGGGTGAACGTGACAGAATAAAATTTCACAAGAGACAAATGCAAAATTCTTCTTTTAGGAAACAACATTCAAATTCACAATAACAGCAGGGGAGTATGGAACTTCCTGACCTAACCCATCCATCTATCTATCTATCTATCTATCTATCTATCTATCTATCTATCTATCCATCCCCCTCCCTCTCTCCCTCCCTACCTACCTACCTACCTACCTACCTACCTACCTACCTACCATCTATCATTATCTCTCTTGTAGATTGCATTGCATTCATCTTCTGTTCATTCCCTCGCTCTTCCTTTTTATTTCCTCCCTCCCCACTCTTCTCCTTTCTCTTCTTCCCATAGATTCAGATGTCAGCTTTTACTAATAGGTTTTATTTTGTTTTCTAAACTTGTTCTCAGGTGGAAGAAGCATTATGTGAAGCTGACTTTCAGCTCAATCTGGACCTGCTTTTTACAGACAGTGAACAACAGTGAGTAGTTTGCCTTTTTATGATGAATTGCTAGTCTCTTGCAAGCAAGAGAGCAAAGAATCTGAAGGTATTTTAAAATTAGGAAATATGTTTTCCTGAACCACAGTCTGCTTAAAGAAATGCATGGAGCATTAGGTATGCACGAGATAGTTATTGGACACAGAGGAAAGAATCCTGAAAAGAACATAGAGGAACAATCCTGTAGATAATCCCCTCTGCTCCATCAGCATCCTGATGATTCAATACAAAGTATGACTACATAAATATTGCCAGTTTTTATTGTTTACTTTCCTCTTAACAAGAGCAATTTAGGATCATAATCTAGTGTATGTTGACAGTTTCTAGTAAAATGGCACTGTTGGAGGAGAAGGAAAAGACAGAGGAGAAGGGGGAAGAAGGAGGAGGAGGAGAAGGAGAACAAGCAGGGGAAGGTGGAGGAGGAGAAGGAGAGAAAGGGGGAGAAGGAGAAGAAGGAGGACAAGGAGAGGAGGGGAGAGAAGGAGAAAGGAGGACAAGAAGAGAAAAGGGGAGAAGGAAAAGAAGAAAAAGGAGGAGAAGGAGAACAAGCAGGGGAAAGTGGAGAAGGAGAAAGACGAGGAGAAAAAAGGGGAGGATGAGGAAGATGGACAAGAAGAAGGAGAAGAAAGAGGACAAGGAGAGGAAGGGAGAGAAGGAGGAGGAGGATAAGGAGAGAAAGGGGAGGAGGAGGACAAGAAGAGGAAGGGGAGAAAGAGGAGAAGAAGGAGGACAAGGAGAGGAAGAGGGAGAAGAAGAAATAGGAGGAGAAGGAGAGAAAGGGGAGAAGGAGGAGAAGGAGAGGAAGGGGAGAAGGGGAAAGAAGAGGACAAGGAGAGGAAGGGGGAGAAGGAGGAGGAGGATAAGAAGAGGAAGGAGAGAAGGAGAAGAAGGAGGAGAAGGAGAGGAAGAGGGAGAAAAAGAAATAGGAGGAGAAGGAGAGAAAGGGGAGAAGGAGGAGAAGGAGAGGAAGGGGAGAAGGGGAAAGAAGAGGACAAGGAGAGGAAGGGGGAGAAGGAAAGGAGAAGGAGGAGGAGAAGGAGAACAAGCAGGGGAAGGTGGAGAAGGAGGAGCAGGAGGATAAAGAGAGGGAGAGGGAGAAGGAGAAGAAGGATGAGAAGAGGAAGGGGGAGAAGGAGGAGGACGATAAGGAGAGGAAGGGGGAGAAGGAGAAGAAGGAGAAGAAGGAGGACAAGGAGAGAAAGAGGAGAAGGAGAGGAAGGGGACAAGGAGAAAGAGGAGGACAAAAAGATGAAGGGGGAGAAGGGGAAAGAGGAGGACAAGGAGAGGAAGGGGAGAAGGAGCAGGAGGAGGAGGAGGAGGAGGAGGAGGAGAACAAGAAGAGGGAAAGGAGAAGAAGGATGAGAAGAGGAAGGGGGAGGATAAGGAGAGGAAGGTGGAGAAGGAGAAGAAGAAGGACAAGGAGAGAAAGGCAGAGAAGGAGAAGTGTAAAAGGAAATGGAAAGGAAAAGAAAAGATAACTGCACAAACGGTAGAAGGCAAACCATTTGAGGATTTCCAGGGCAGCATCAAGAAACTGACCCATGTTGCATTAATTACCATGTAGAGAGTTGAGTTGCTACCTTAGAAGTATGACTCACTGCTCAGAGAATAACAGCCCACGATCAAAATTCTGCTCACGCCTGAAACTCTGCAGCAGCCCCAGCGGCAACAGCATCACAGAGTAAGCCAATGTCTCGCTTTTCTCAACTCTTCCATCCTCTCCTTCCAGGCTGAGAGATGTCCTGACCATCCCGGTAATAAGCAGCCGCATGTTGGGCCTCCACTTCCATCCCAAGCAAGGCCTACATCACCATGTCCCTGTCATGTTTGACTACTTCCACCTGTCGGCAGTCACGGTTACTCTGCATGCATCTCTGGTGGCTTTAAACCAGCCCCTTCTCAGGTACAGTGAGCCCCTACTTTCTGAAGAGACAATGCAAAAGGGCTTTGCAAATCCTTTTGAAGTTACGCACATTTTTTTCCAGGCGGGCCGATATATCAGCTCTCTTCAAACCCTTAAAGCAGACACGTCTTTGGATTTAAATATCCAAAGCAAAGCAAAGTGGTTTTGCCCTGCAGTCAGTCCATGATGGCAAGAACTGGGAGTTGCTTTCAAAGAAGGTGGACGAGCCTGGAAAAAGACACGGCTGTTTTAATGATTTGAAGAGAAGCTCTTTGCGCAGCTACAAACCGCTTTTGAAGGACTGGCCCAGCCCTGAACATGACTTTTGCCTTCTGCACTTCGGCACTCCCACGCAGTCCTAAGCTGCATGAACAGAGGGATAGAATCACAATCACGTGAAGTGCTAATGTCACTTTATAAGGCCTTGATAAACTCCTATTTGGAATACGGCGTCTAGTTTTGGTCTCCACAAAATAAAAATAAAAAGATGTTGAGACTCTAGAAAGAGAGCAGAGAAGAGCAACAAAGATGATCAGGGGACTGGAGGCTAAAGCATATAAGGAACGGCTGCTGAAATTGGGTATGTCTAGTTTAATGAAGAGAAGACTGGGGGAGACATAATAGGGGGAGACATGATAGCAGCGTTCCCATATGTAAGGGGCTGCCACAAAGTTTGTGTGTGAGGGGATGTCAACCTATTCTCCAAAGCACCTGAAGGCAGGACAAGAAGCAACGGATGGAAACTAATCAAGGAGAGAAGCAACCTAGAACTAAGGAGAAACTTCCTGACAGTTAGAACAATTAACCAGTGGAACAACCTGCCTCCAGAAGTGGTGAATGCTCCAACACTGGAAGTTTTTAAGAAGAGACTGGATAGCCATTTGTCTGAAATGTTATAGGGTTTCCTGCCTGAGCAGGGGGTTGGACTAGATGACCTCTGAGGTCCCTTCCAACTCTGTTATTCTGCTATTTTAACTTTCTGAACCATCATCTAATCCTCTCTAGATGAGATGGGCAGCACATAAATCTAATAAAACTGTATGGGTTGCTCCCTGTTTGTACACACTAGCTTGCCTTGCCAGTTTGGATTAGCTGTGGTTTTTCTTGGTGATTCCTTGAGCAAGGAATTGAATCGAGGATTGAGCTACAGATACTCTCCTCTACTGAATATTTCTCAGTTTCTGCTTCTTCCTAAATAGCTGTACCGGTACATGAAAATATCCAACTTTTCCCAGTTCAGAAAGGAAGGCACGAGCGAGCGAGATTTTGATTATAAAAATATACCTTCCTGAGTTTTCCACATCTTCTGTCTTTGTTTAGTTTTGCTCGTCCAGGAAGATCTTCCTGGCTTGGTAAAGGCAACTTGGACCCTGGACCAGATCCACCTGGGATGTCACTGGAAAACCTGGTCTTTGGAGCGGGCTACTGCAGACCGACAACTTCAGAGGTAAAAAGCTGTTCTGTGGAGGTGTTGACGACACTCCAAAATGAGATGGCCACCAAGCTGTCGATGAATTGTTGCATTTCTTAAAATTACAGTAATCCTCAATTTAAAACCATTGGTTTAGCCACTATGGGAAGTTACAATAGCACTGAAAAAGTGACACGACCATTTTTGAAACCTACGACCATTGCAGCATCACCATGATCACATGATCAAAATTTGGATGCTTGGCAACTAGCATGTACTTATGATGGTTGCATGCCCTGGGGTCCTGGATTTCCCTTTTGCAACCTTCTGACAAATTCAATGGGGAAACCAAATTCACTTAACAACTGTGTTACTAATTTATATATATAGGGACTGGGATAGCTATTTCGAGCTAATTAGCTCTCATCAGCCAGCCATACCCTTCTCAGATTCGAACCTGGGCTGCTTGCACATTAGGCAGCTGGGTTGACCCCTAGCCATAAGCTCTTTCTCACTTTGTCAGCTGTATCAGGCAGGGAAGAGACAGGGGAGGAGATATGTCTTGAGTGTTTTTTGATGCACCCTGTTGGCCCAAATATGGGAGGAAGAAATATTTTTCCTGTATCAGCCCAATCTAGGGCTATCCATAGGCAGCAGTCACTACTGCAACATTATTTGTGTGCTAAAAAAAATTTCTGGATTGCTAACAAAGAGTTTTTCTTCCTCCCATATTTGGGCCGACAGGGTGCATCAAAAAAACACTCAAGACATATATATATATATATATATATATGCACACAGCCCAGGTTCGAATCTCAGAAGGGTATGTCTGGCTGAAGAGAGTTAAGAAACTCGAAATAACTATTCCAGTTCTCCCTTTATTCTTTGTTAGCAATCTAAATATATATGTGTGTGTGTGTGTGTGTGTGTGTGTGTGTGTGTGTGTCTGTGTGTCTGTGTGGTACTCGTGTTGCTGGCTTTTCTAGGCTCTTCCACAGGTCTTGCCTTTCCTTGCCTTATGTTGTGTTGCCTCGCATCCAGGCCAGGTCCAAATCCAGGTTCTGGTCTCTGCACACATTAATGTAGCTACCGTACATTTTTCCCACCGATTTTCCACCCATTTATCTACTTGCAGTATTGCATGGTTTCAAATGATTGCTGAGTGGGCAGGAGCTTGGGATCGAGCGACAGGAGCTCACTCCATCTCAAAGAGGCAGGCTCAAACCGTTGGAGTGCAGACCATTTTTGGCTGGCAGTTCCAGTGTCATTAATCCTCTGCGCCACTGTGTTCCCTTGATGGCATTTTATTCCACCATCCACTTATTCTGCCTACCTGTCACCCTTGTTCTGATTTAATTAATCTTTTTTTCCACTGCCCAGAAATCAATTGACATATTTTTCAAATTTCCCCTTGGATGCTAAAAAAAAAAAAAAATTGTTTGGAATTAGACTTTATTAGCAAAGTGAGCCAAAGAGAAGCAAGATATTTACATATTTGCTCAGATTTTATGGGAAAAAAGTTTGGCCCTTAGGTTAGGCACATTGATATACTAGAGGTTGTTTTTAACAGTTGATTTCCATTATTTATAGATGTGTTTAAGGTGTTCCTTTGGGACTTTGTTGTATCTGTTTGGATCAGGTTGGGCTATCAGTATTGTGTAAATGGATGCATGGAGAACAGTGTAGCAAAGAAAGGCTAATAAATGCTTGCATGGCTATCGTGATTAATTATTAAATTGATATTCCACCTGACTCCCAACGAGTAAGAGTGATAACACAATAATTGTATGGACATAGAAGACACAATCATAGAATAACAGAGTTGGGATGGACCTTGGAGGTCATCTAGTCCACTGCAGTCTGTCCTTAAAAGCCTCCAGTGATGGGGTGTCCACAACCTCTGAAGGTAAGCTATTCTATTGATGGATTGTTCTCACCCTTAGGAAATTTGTCCTTAGTTTCTAAGCTGCTTCTCTCTTTGCTCTGTTTCTATCCATTGTTTCTTGTTTTCCCTTTTGGTCCTTTGGAGAATAGCTTGACTGCCTCTTCTTTGTGGTAGCTCCTGAGATACTGGAACCTTGCTATCATGTCCCCCCTCGTCCTTCTCTTCATTACACTAGTCATAGCCAATTCCAGAAACCGTTCCTTATAGCCTCCAGTCCCCTAATCATCTTTGTTGCTCTTCTCTGTACTCTTTCTAGAGTCTCAACATCTTTTTTTACATTGTGGTGACCAAAACTGGATGCTGGATTGCAAGTGTGGTCCTACTAAGGCTTTGTAAAGCGGTGCTAGTACTTCACGTGATTTTGATTCTTTCTCTCTATTAATGCAGCCTAGGATTACATTGTTTTTGAGTTTTTTTTGCTGGTGCCGCACATTGTTCACTCATATTTAAGTGGTTGTCCACTAGGACTCCAACATCCCATTCACAGTTACCAGCATTAACCTAGTCTGTATGTGTACAGTTGGGTTTTCTTGCCTAAGCGTAGAACCTTACTTTTCTCTACACTGAATTTCATTTAGATGGGGCCAAGTGTTCAAGACTGTCAAGATCCATCTGTCTTCTGGGCTGTTGGCTATTCCTGTGTCTCCATGCCTTTCCTATCCTAAATATGCAATTTTGGCTGACTCCTCAAAGTTTAATAGCAAGGAAATGCTACATGGAACAGATGGCAGACTTAGTTTGTCAGTTGAAACAGTCCAGCGAGAAAGAACAAGGTGTTTTCATCAGAAGAATTTGCCTTTCCTTGCAACGACTGGCTTTCCTTGACAGTCCTGCTCTATTTGAAAAGTGACAGCCATACAAGTAATGATGACAGGCCACTTTTGATCTCCCAGCTCCTGGGCCTGATTTATTTAATTCCTTTTGCAGCACGGAGATGGATTCGGCAGAAATCTGTGTTGCTTTTCAGCTAGCTGAAATGGTGTGGGTTACAGAGATAATTGAGATAATGAGCTTCATTCTCAAAGGCAGATAAGTCCCTGAAATGATATTTATTATCACTTTTCTCTCTTTTCCTTCTCCCTCAATCTGATGATGATTCAGATCCGTCTTTCCATTTCTGTTTTAGAAGGGGGGGGGAATGCAAAATGATGGGTTTGGAGGTATCAGTGCTAGAAAGCAGAAAAATAATACAAGATCCTTTTTATTCCATGGATCCCTATTCCCTTCCCTCCTTTCACTTTTCCATATGCTCTAGAAATAATTTGTAGCATGAGAGGGAAAGGCAAAACGGGTTATTATATTTTGGGGAAATTATATTGGGTTGTAAAGAAAGTAAGCCAAATATACATTCTATACCAATATTTTCCAATAGTTTTGATATTCCGACAGCCACCAGTGGTGGGATTCAACTGGTTCGTACCACTTCGGCAGAATCGGTAGCTAATTTTTTGTTGCCCAGGCCCAGAATGGATTTCTGGAGGCAGCATCCATGCAAAGAACCAATTGTTCACATATTTGAATCCCACCACTGCACAGCACCCAAACCAGAACATACCACACAGCCAACCACCATGCAAAAACTAATCCTACCATACACAACAAGAGTGTTGGGAATGACAGCCAGAATTCTCCAACTTCTAGGAATAACAATAGCCCAAAAACCCACAGCCACACTGTACCAGGAATTATCCAGAACTAGAGACACAATACAGAAGGATGGAAGAAACAATATAATTTACAAAATCAACTGTAACAATCACAACCAATTCTACGCGGGACAAACGTCACATCAATTCAAAACCAGAATCCAGGAACGCCACCTTGCAGTCGAACGCCACAATCCCAAATCCCTAATCTGTACCAACACTGACACTGAACAGCCCCAATGCGATTGGAGCAATATAAGAATCATCAGACACATTGCTCCCCGCCACGCTCATGAGTTCATCAAAGCTTTGCACTCCACAAGCAATTCCATCAACAAACACATTGACCTACAACCAGTCTACAAATCTCTCAGAATCCAAATAAACCACACACCAACCAGTGACAGAGCCAACTTTCAACCAACCCACACAACCCTCCCCAACCAGCACTTCACCACCCAATGACCCTCACCTGGTGTGATCTCCCCATCACAAGACCTATCACAAGACCTTCATCTGACATGATCCACAGCTGACCCATCACAAGACTCTCACCTGACATGACCCTCGCATCACAAGACCTACTGACCACATAAAGCCCTTCTAAGCAAAAGAACTCCAACACTGAAATTCCCTAAATTCCACTCAAGATATTACCTAGCCTGATAATGAAATGTTCTGAAACCAACCCACAAGTTCAGGACAAGAAACAATGGTTGGAAACTGATCAAAGAGAGAAGCAACCTGGAATTAAGGAGAAACTTCCTGACGGTGAGGACAATCAACCAGTGGAACGACTTGCCTTCAGAAATCATGGGTGCTCATCACTGGAGATTTTTAAGAAGAGACTAGACATTCACCTGTCTGAGACAGTATAGGTTCTCCTGCTTGAGCAAGGGGCTGGACTAGGTCCCTTCCAGCTCTATTCTATTCTAAGATTTAACCTCCATTATCAATCTTGATATCCTATTGAACAGGAGAATTTACTGTCTCCGCTGCTTTCAGGGGTTTCTGCAAGGTGGTAGTCAAAAAATCAAGATGGCAGACAGAATGGCTTATGGTTAATGTTATTATGATGTGACAATGCAAATTTCCTCATTTGCCTCTCCCCCATTTGTGAATTCCCATGTCTCCAAGTAATAGTGACATTGGAAAACCAAGCTTGTTAATTGAAATCCTAATGGGTATTGAGAAGTATCAATCAGACAGTCCATAGCTTGTTGTTGAGAGGTTAACCAGACTTAAAATCAGCTTCTTTTATATTTTACACAATTTTAATTCCCATGTACTGAACAGTTGTACCTGTTGGTTGTTATCTTTTTGGTTCTGGGAGGCACGATGAGTACCAAAAACAATGAGTACCAAACATTTTTTTTTCCTTTAAGGAATAATGTAGTGAGTCACAAAGCAGCTGACGCCTAGAAATTCTAGCTGGTGTGTTGAGT